CAGGAGGTATGGGTGTAGTTGTATCCTATGGAGATTGTTGCTGTCTCCCACTCAGTTAGACAAAAATTACAATTGAATAACCATCAAAAAACTAAAAGCACATGGACAAAAAATACACCATGTAATCACACAGGAATAGTAACCAAAAAAAGGAAAAAGGGAGAAAAGAAAAAAACAAGAAAACCTGCAATATCTGGGAATAGGGCACTGAGAGAAAAAAGGTAGAGAAGGAGAATAATGAAGAAAAAAAATGGGAAAAATACAAAAAGAAAAAAAGGCCAAGGAATGGTGTTAACCATGAGGGAAAAAAAAGGGGGGGGGGATTTAAATTAAAAAAAAATATATTTTTTAATCCAGAACAGGGAAAAGAAAAAAAAAAGTTGTAAACTAGAATGTGGGAGAGGAAGAATAGTAAAAAGGACAAAAGTATAATAGTAGTTTTAAAACAGACAAATACAAGCAATCTAAACACCAGAAAAAAGAAAGGGAAAAAGAAAAAAAATCGGCAGAGGACAAGGCAGGGCACCCAGGCTCCGTCCAAGCACACAGACTAGGATGGAGTTCCTGTGGGCCCAGAAGGTGTGTGGGAGTGGGGGGTGGCCACACCTCCGTTCATCAAGTGGGTGTGGGGTACAAGAGTAACGAGGAATGTCGCACCTTTTCAGTTGTGCAGGTCCGGAGTGTCCTTGGGGTTACAGGAAAGCAGAACCTCTTCTCAAGCCACTGGAATCTCGGAGAGTGCTGTCTCTTTAAATATCCAACATGGTCAAGCTGCTTAAACATTCAAAATGGCAGCACCCTCTGGACAGGCAAAAGTCCACAGCTCAACCCGCCTTTTTCTTCACCTTCTACGTCTATTCCCCAGCCACCAGAGCAGTCCTCCATGCAGTACTGTCATGCAGGGCTGATTTTTAGGTTAATTCTTAGGTCCTACCACCACTCGGGAATCTCCAAGCTATCTGTGCCATCAGGATCAATCAGGATCGCTGCCATATCGCAGCTCTGTATGTTTACTTTTTTGGTATTTTCATGCAAATTCTTCTGCTAGTTGGCGTTTAGTCCACTTCTGTATCCCTCCCTTCAAGGCTCAGGGGTCCAGGATTATCTTCTGTGTCTGTGTTAATTGGTTTCCCTTATCTTTGTTGAAGAGGGTCTGTGCAGACTTTCTGCCTATTCTGCTATCTTGGAATTGCCTCCTCTTTATATATTTTTTAATTGTATAATCATAACCAGATTGAGTATCGTGGTAAACTTTTCAAACTAGTGATGCGCTGAATGGAAAACAATTGAGACTATATAATAAACTGCAGACATAAAGTATTCGGAGCAACTCAGCCTGTGCACTGGCATACAGTAACACTGATAATCCAGTGAGAAGACTTAATGTGGACCAGCACTGTACTTGAGGATCCCTAAGCTGTTATGACTCATAATTACACATGTAAAATAGTAGGCCTGGGAGGAACTCCTGTTTATTCTGTTTCAGATAGCATTCAGGCATGGCTTTTCTATACTGATAAGAGAGCAAAATCTGGTTTTCCAAGACCATGACGTTTTTTAAGAAGCCATTTTTACAGTTAGAAACAAAATGTTGAATAGCTTAGCTCCCACATTTGTATATATTTTGAAACTAATGGATTATAGTGTTGGTTGGGTAAGTTAAAGGTTAATTTAAAAGTACTTATAGAACTATTAGACAACAAATTTAGAGCACCAGGAGAAAATGAATTATGGTTAAAAATATTTCTTTGTTTTTATAATATCCCCATTTTTTATTAAACTGGGCTAAATGAAGAAACAGTGGACTGATAGAATCCAACTTACTTAATACATATTGTATTAAATACATATTACATATTATGTGAGAATTAAGGAGCTCTAGGGGCACTGTAGTTAAAGCATTGGGCCGGTTACCAAAAGGTTGGTGGTTCAAACCCACCAGCCACTCTGCGGGAGAAAGATGCAGTCTGCTTCTATGAAGATTTACAGCCTTAGAACCCTGTGGGGCAGTTCCACCCTGTCCTACAGGTCACTATGACTCAGAATTGACTCACTGACAATAGGTTTGATTTTTGTTTTATATATAATATACCTATAAGCTAAATGTGTGTGTGTGTGTGTGTGTAAGTTGCAAATGTGTGTGTGTATAAGTACAGTTTCTTAGACTGTACTTTAAAAATTAGAAGACTATCATTTTTTTCCCTGATAAGAGGACTCTACAACTCTACAAGAGGAGAACAGCATTGTAGAGTGATTTTTATCCAAATTACACACATACGCAGTGTTTAATATTAATGACCTTCATGGTTACCCCTGAGTCCAACTAACTTCCAGTGATTGCTTGTTTCACGGGCTAAGTAAGCACTTAAAAGCACACAGATTACCTGGCCTTTTTGTTTTCTGACATTACACCATATGAAGTCTAGGAGAGAACACTACCATGCTATTTACTTGGTTTCTCATGGTCTTTGGCAGACTGGGCTTATAGATGAAACTGAAGCTGCCAGAGTGGAACGTGTGAAACAGGAGAGAGGTATTTTCTGGGAGCCCTTTGTTAAAGTGCCTAAAGAAGAAGCAAGGCAGTCATCTTTACAGGTAAGGGCTTCTTTTCAGTATGGACCAAACTTTAAGAGGAAATTCTGCCCTTCTTACTTAGTGGCAATTAAAACAAATTAGTGTGCTCTTGGCCTCATAATGGATTTCTGAGAAAGCAAATAGATCTAGATATGTAAAATAAAATTCTCTTATCTTGTGGTAGTTGCTCTTTTAAAATCACATTTCTTCTTCTTTAAAAGTTACCAAATACACAGAACAGAGGTGAGGATATTAAAAAATACATTTTGAACATCAGACCAAATATAATCTGAAGACAATTTTCATTTGTTACATTGTACCAATGAGTAGTTTCTGAATCACAGAAGAAAATCAGTTAACTCGCCTTCTGCATTTATTTAATTTGATGGCTTGCCTCATGAAGAAATTGGATACTATCAGAACACTGTTTTGAACATGAACAGTATATGTGGAATAATCATCCATAAAAGGGGCAATTTTCTGTTCTAGTCACAATTCTTACAAAAAGAGAACAAGTTTAAGTATACATCAGTAACTTGTTTTGAAGACATGTAACTTCTTTGCCTGAAATCTGTAAGGTTAAATATATCATGACACTTAAGTTTCCTTGGCTATTAAATGGTAGTAGCAGCCCTAAGTCGCTGACAAACCAAAAATGCCTTCACAAGTGTTTTCCAGATGACCACGGGAGTGGGGAAACTTGCCCTTGTGGAGAAACAGTGGGTTAGAATAAAATTCCCACATAAACTTCTTTACAGTTTTAGAAGTTGCTCAAACAAGCTTTAGTGTAGTCCAAAAGGAGCTCTGGAGCCACAGTTGTTAAAGGATTCAGCTTCCAACCAAAAGGTCAATGGTTTGAACCCCCTAGCCACTCTGCAGGAGAAAGATGAGGCAGTCTGCTTCCATAATGATTTACAGCCTTGGAAACTCTACTCAGTCCAATAGGGATACTATGAGTAGGAAGCAACCTGATGGCAGTGGGTCAGGGAGTCCAAATGGAGGGTTCTTTCTTTCTTTCTTTTTTTTTTTTTTTTTTTTGAGTGGTATTACAGTATTGCCTGTCACATAGTTTCTTCATTTTGCAGCCTTGTGCAAAAAGAGCCCGTCACGAGTTCCCCTTAGAAGAAGAGTACAGGTCAGCATTACGAACAGCAACTGGGGCCCTGGAGGCAATTGAGTCATTACTCCAAAAGTCTCCTGCTCCAGACTGGCTGCTGATGAAAATAGAGGAGCTGCAGGAAAGGACTGAAAAGCTAAAACACTGCTCACTCACGGGTGAAACGTGAATGGACTGGACCTTATCATCACTAGACGACATAACATCATGTGATGCTTTGTATATTGTGTAAATAAAAATACTGATGTAATCATGTCTATACATTTTCGAACACATAAAACAGTTTTTGTAAAGTTGAATCTAGTGAAAATAGTCTTTATTGGACATTTCAGAGAACAGGATAGGATAGTTGGGGATGTTTCTCATTAAGAACTTTGGTACAACGTAATAGAAGTGGAACGGTCAGTAACAGCCCAGGTCCACACAGGACCATTCACTCAGTACAGTTGTAAACAAATAAATAAGCTGCCTAAGGAAACCTTAGTAGTTTAAAATCATATATATACTTTATAGCTAACATTTTTTTTAGTACATCATACTTCATAATAGAGCTTACTCTTTTGTTAAAGAAATGGCACGAAATTAAGCTAACCAGCTTGAAATTTTATATTTATTTTCTTTACTTCCAGAATTGTTCTGGAAAAAGCAGTAAATTCAACCTTCCCACAGCCACTTGCTCTTCACAGAAACTGGCCTCAGTCAAATGCACTCAGGCTCTTCCTCCTGGAACCCAGCACTGAGCAGTCCTGATGCCTCCTCGCCTCCCAGGGCTTCTAGCCAGCACTTGAGGTCTCCTATTTTACTTGGCACAAATGGGAAAAGAGCCCCTGGTATGGGAAAAACAGGCTGCTTTGGGTTTTCTTGTCCTTGGAGCCTGCTTTTGAGGTATTAATTTGATTAAAGAAAAAAAAAAAAGATTTTTTTTTCCCTTAAAGTTTATTCATACCCGTTGTCACCAGTTATTATCTTCCCAGTTCAGCTCCCCTTCTTCTCCCCAGCCACTAGCTTCTCCCTGCAAAAAAAAGTACACCAAAAGCAATCTGCTGAAAAATCATAGCCAAATTTGAAAAATACAGGAACTAAAGAGTTCAGGGGACTTAATACTTGTCTTTTGATGCTAGAATTCATTTATCATACTAAGTACAAGTAGGAAGATTACTTTGGTTCCAGTATTATAAATCAAATGGTAGGAAAATAATTTTCAAGGATCATATAATCCAATAAAATTAGTCTGATGACACCATATTCTTGGCTTAATCCCTTTTCATCCTTATAAATAAAAAGTTTACTCATAATTTCATGTAACTTCTTCATGTAACAAATGGACCACTAAATACCTAGCCCAAGCATCACTACATTTTTCTGGGGAAGAAGAAAAAAGATACTATTTATAGGAACTGATTTCATTTTATGCTCAACTTGATCATTTTAACCAACTGTGTATATTAGTCTTTTCCCTCACCAGGGAAATAATATGTTTATTAAAAATACGACAGTGTTAACTGAGATCTTTGATGGACACATCCTTAAATTGGTAGCACAATTCAATAATTCTCACCTCAATAATTTCTGCTGCAGCAAATTTTGAGGAAAACTGCATCCTTGGTGAGATATCCTCCTTGTTGGGAACCATCATTTCTGTCCGTAATTCAGGTAAAATAAGAAAAGCAGCTGAAGGTTTAATCTCTGGGACCATATCAGCAAACCAGTCCAACTCAGGATCTTGTACTGGCTTCTTTTTTACCTGAATGGTAAACTCCTCTCCTAAACCAAGTTCTGATGGAATTTTAAGCGGCCTTTCTTGGGATGACACTTTTGGTGGCTTGATGTGGTTTGGATCATCCTGGCTTTGTACAAGACTGGTCTTTGGGGACAGGCCTGATTTCAAAGGCCTAGACTCTTCAATGAGCGGAAACAAAGAAGGAATGGGCTTTGGCTCCCCTGAGGTAACAGGTCTTGTAGCAGGGATTCCACCTCTAAGGTTCATTTTAGTATCTAAGTTGCTGGGCTCAATGTCATCCCAAGACTCCTCCTTAGCAGTAATCGGGGACTCGGCAGCATTGCATGGCTCTCTAGGCCAAATCTGTATGTTGACAGTCTTGTTTTCAGGCTCCTCAGGCTCGCTCCAGTCAGGCCACTCTTCAGACTTTTTGGAACTTGATGGGAAGTTTTCACTGTGTTCTGAATTATTTTTCACATCTGAGATTCCATTCATGGCCAATTTTATAGGCTGAGAAAACTGATTACCTATGGAATATGTTTAATAATAATTATTGTAAAATGTTGGTTAAGAGCAAACAATGTATTTAAGGGAAGGTTAGCACTAACCCAAGCTAAAGAAATACAGAGAGCTAACTGCTTGGAAATACCCATGCACACTTAACTGCAGAAAAGCTAGCCCAGAAGAATGTAACAGACACTGTAGACGGCAGGTAAAGTTAACCAAGTACTTAAATCATAACTCAGTGGAAGCGCACCCAGCAATAACTAACTGGAGCACCCAATCCTTCACTAAATATTCAAGCTTAGCGTTTTTTGTTTATTGTCTATAAACAAATATAAATGCTCTAAGGCAGGCACTATTTCCTTCAAGATGTTAATTATGTACACACTATAAAACTGTTGTGTACTCAAGTTTGCCTACCCCAACATATCCTAGTTTTAAGGAGATTTCCTTAAGTAACCAAGGCACTAAGACACCCTGTGAAATGTGTTATGAATCTCTGCGACCAACATTTCCCCAAACTGATTAACCATAGAACTCTTCATGACACACCTGTGAATGTATCTGCCAGCACTGCTGTTCCTTGATATGATTTGGAAAACCCTGCACTAAGGCATCAAAAGTGCCAAAGTAAAGTATCAGGTGTAAAAGAGAATTCAAGTAGTGTCAATAGGCTTTTCTCATTGGCTATGACAAAAAAGAGTCGATATATACCCATTAGTCCAGGGAAACAAGATGAGCCCAATGTTGACAAGACAATTATATACAGTAAAACGTGCAAAAACTGGAACCTGTGTAAGGCAGAAAGCTGTCAGAAGGGAAATGAAAATCTTTTCCACTAACAGTGTGACAGTAAAGTGGCATGTTGCACCCCGTCAAAGATGGAAAATTTGTAAGACCCAGAAAAAACACGCAGTTCTACCAAGTTCTGGCCCTTACAGGTTTCACTGTATAAAAGAAATCAGTATCAAAATTCCCAAAGTCCCTTAGCTTTCAGAATTTACATTTCTCACTGTCAAGAAAGCATTCATCCAAGCAATAGAAAAGCTGTATAAATGTAGTATTACTACCTTTCTGTAAAAGAGTATTGTAGTAATCTTGCTGTATGTGCTTCTTGCTGCTGATGGGCATGTTGCCAGAAAAGAAATATTTAGGGAATATGCTAGAGGAGGGGTTCTCCAAGACTGGCGAGAGCTGACTGTGCTGGCTGCAGACGACGTGCATGGGAGAATCTGAAGGTAAATAAAAACCCCAAAGAGTGAAAGGGACAGTACATTGCATCTCGATCTATCACATGTTAAGTGAGAAATGGTTAAAGGAAATGGAGATAATTGACACAGAGGAGTTGCAGAGAGAGAGCATCTTTCACTAACTGAAGAAACACAGGCTGAATGCCGACATGGTGGTGATGGAAGGGCACAACCACTGGGTAAGGAACTGTATGAGATAAGTAAGTTTTGGGATGTTGTTGTTGTTATGTGCCGTAGAGTCGGACCTGACTCATAGCGACCCCTCCTTGGGTTGCTGAGGCAGTATCACTACGGAAGGAGATTGCCCCATCTTCCTTCCGAGGAGTGGCTGGTAGGTTTAAACACAGCCTTCTGGTTTGGGATACCTGGTGACAAAGTTACAGCCTTTAAAAATGTTTTGGTGGTGATTTAAAACCATAACCGATTATTCTATTTTCATTCCTTTCAAGAATAAAAGCTATGTGACAGTGGACCTCCCCTTATCCATGGCCCCTCCCCAGCAGCACACCCGGTCCTTCAGAAGAGGCTGCACGTAACAATAAAAGCTGGCATGTAGGCTGCAGCCAGGGCTCACTAGTCTCTTCCATGAAGAGCCGAACCTGCGAGGCAGTGGGATTACACCTATATCTGTAAAATCTTTTCTTACTTATTAATTTATTAACTTTCAGAACTTAAATTATGAAGTTTTTCTTATAAAGTCTTTACAGAAAACTATCAAGAAAAGTTAATCTGCCACTGCTGCTGTGGTGTGTGGTGACTTTTGGTTTCTTACTAAGATTATAGGGTAATCCAGGTGGGTGTAAACAAATAAATATCTTCAGTAATAGAATGTCTAGAACTAGAAAATTCCATTCAATAAATAAAACAGATGTTAGGAGTGAAAGCTTTTGCGGGTTTAGCAGGCAGAGCGGCCCTAAGCCACAAGCCTTATTTTAAAACTATATTCCTCCCTCCCCCTCAGAAAAGTTCTGGTATATTTAAATAGCTCTCTCATTTACTGTCTGGTATAATCTGCTAACGGAAGAATTCGTAACAGACTCTTTCATGACAGAAGATGAGGCACGAGTTTTCAAACTCACTGGAGCCAAACAGATAATCGTTTCTTTCACGCCAAGGAAGAGCTGAACTTTTTCAGAACTTCAGGAAGCCAACATTATTTTTAAAATTGTCTTGGCATCAAACTTAGAGAAAAACTTATCTATAAGTAACTGTTTCCATGCTATCTGTACACTATCAGTGAGAACTGAACTAGCAATCCAGAGCTTTAAAACAGGTCCTAGTCCTAATTCAAGGTTCACAACACATTAACAGTGATGAAGCTATTGATACAGAATTCTCATCCTTGACTTACAGCCTATAACAAAAAAACACACTCACTGCTTTCAACTCAGTTTGACTCATAGTGACCCTCTAGGACAGAGTAGAACTGGCCCATAAAGGTTCCAAGGCTATAAATCCTTATGGAAGCAGACTGCCCCATGTTTCTCCCACAGAGCACCTGCTGGGTTCCAATTGCTGACCATTTGGTTCACAGCTGAGCACTTTAACCACTGTGATATCAGAGCTGCTTATAGCCTATAAAGACTAGAAATTACTGCTACCTCCTAGGTAACATATAACAGGATCATACCAGAAGTAAAGATTTCTTAAAGGACCTAAAAATCAACAGCTTTGTACTCAATAGGCTAAGAAATTCCAAAGCACTTTTAACTACTGTTATTGAGAACAGCTTTAATCTTTTGAGGCTGAAAATGTCTATTAAAATTTTAAATATTCATATCCTTTGACCCAGCAAGTCTACTTCTGGGACTCTATCTTATAGCAGTAAAACCCAAAGTGTATAAAAATATGTGTATAATGATGTTTAATGTGGCATTTTTTATAAGTGGTTAAAAATCAAGAAATGGAAGCAATATCCATCAATAAGGGAAATCACTAAATGAATTACATTCAATGAAATATCAGGCAGCTATCAAATAAGAGTGAGCTAGATTTTTATGTACTGACCTGGACATAGGCCCCTGGTATGCAGCTGCATGGAAAAAGTGAAATGTGTACAGTATTTTGTTTTACAAAAACATCCTCTGTGTATGTATAAACATACATCTGTGTCATCTTCTGGGCTTACAAATAGGCATGAAAGAATTCTCATCAAGCTGCTAAAATGGATTACCCTCTAGGAGCTGGGAAAGGGACATTATTAACATTTGACTAGATACAACCCACGTACATGACTTACATATTTAAAAATCTAAAGTTAAAACAACAATTATCTAGGGGTGGGCAGGGAGGGGAGGGGAGGAAACACTGCAATAATAATAATAAACACTTATAATAAAAAGCTAAAGCTTTTAATCATTCTTACCTTCTGGGGAAAAGTCAGTAGTTTTAGTAAAACTTGGGGCAGTACGTTTGAAGATCTTGGTTCTTTCTCCTCCCACAACTACATCTGGTCCAAGTAGAGAGACCAGCACTGCCAGGCTATGGAGAGTAATCGCCACAATGGAATCACTGGTATCCCGCAGGCCCAGTAATACCTAGAAGGAATCAGGTCGTAAGTAGAGACAACCACATCGTTTGTTTTTTCTCTCTCTATAAACAAAGCAATGGGCTGCAGCACATTGTGCTTGCTCAGATGAATGTCCTTAGCTATATGCCTCAGCTGACATGCAGAGCAAGAGAATCCCCAACCTGAGCCCAGTCAACTCCAAAAATGTGAGAATTAATAAATGATTGTTGTTTTCAGGCACTAAGTTTTGGGTGGTTTGTTATGCAGCAGCAGATGACTGAAGCATCCATCTTCCCCACTTATTAGACTGTAAGATCCTGAAAGCAGGACGAGAGTGGCACATACTTGTACAGCTCCAGTACCTGAGCACAAAACCTGGCATAAAGCTAGATCTTACAAATTATTTGTAAATTAATTAATCTCATAGGAAAACAAATTATTTGAAAGATGCCATATGACTGACAAAAACTTTTAAAACCTGAAGCCTTTGATGGGGCAAATCAGATGAAAGCTCCCTTGTGGCTGATAAACAGAATGAGAAACACTGAACAATCTCATGCTCCTCTCAATTCCAATTGAATTATTTTATGCCATTACCAAATAAACACTCTTAGAGTTTATGTTCATAAAGCACTCCACAAATGACTCTTGTTCATTTACCTCCAAAAATAAGCAAACAATTCGTTTCTCCAAGGATAAGACCAAATATAAATAGTTTAACTCATTTGCCTGTGTGAATGGACTGGAAATAAAATTTGGATTTCAGCCCTTAGTATTCCAGCAGGCTTTTAAATCAACTGCTGCGGCAAGGCCTTCAAAGCTACCATCTGAAAACTCCAAAACCCTCTTCCTATTCTTCTTCAGCATGCCCTTGCCCACTTCAATCCCTTCTGTGCCTGACCTGTGGCAAGATGACTTTCTTCAGCTGCTCCGGAGTGAAGTGCTCTACGTAAGCCTCAATGTGAGACAGCAGCACCATCCGCACGTGCTCCTCGTGAACCTCAAACAGCTGCAGAAGCACGGGGATCACTCGAGACTGGAACAGGGCCAGTGACAGCAGGCAAGGGGTTTCGCCTTGTACTTTATCTACCCAAGGAAATAGGAGGTTACATGCAAAGAAAGTCATGAAAGGATCACTAACATAAATCACAAACTAAGCCCAGGCTTTATACACACATTCTTATTCCTCAAACCAAGGAAAGCTCTTTTGTTGACCTAGAATTACTCAAGGTTTAATTATCTTATTAATAAGTACACTCTACCCTGCAGAAATGTTCCTGAAATAGTACATATCCAACTTAATGCACGACAAAACCTGTATTTTAGTAGAACCCTGAATCAAAAGCTTTATAAACTTAAGTTTAATTAGTGAGGAATTTCACATACTAGATTAGTGACATTAATATTATCATTTTATTTGTAAAACCAGGAAGTATTAAAAGATACAATGGGATATTGATGCTGGGCAATCCTCTCTTTCCGGCAGTTTTGGTTTACACATCAGAATAATCTGAGCATCTTTAATTAATTAATTTATTTAAATATCCAGGCCCTTGCTCTGTGCCAGAACTAGTGGATGGTTTACAAAAAGATTTTTTAAAAATTCCCCAAGTGATTCAGAGACACAGCTCTATCTAAAATCTACTGAGTAGGAGGATAAGAGGGCTGGCTACAGATAAGAAAATACATGGCTAAGGAGACTGACAACAAAGAAGATACGTAAGGAAATTCTGTATTATAAAAGCATTACCTGTAACAATGGGTGGGTTGAGATCTTTTAAGAAAATTACTTCTGAAAGCAGGACTACATCTGACTCAAAATTCTATGCTGGTGGTGGTGGTAGGTGCCATTGAGTCAGTTCCGACTCATAGGGACCTTAAGTACAACCAAACGAGGCACTGCCTACTCCTGCACCACCCTCACAATCACTGCTATGCCTGAGCCCACTGTTGCAGCCCCTGTATTAATCCATCTCTGTGAGGTTCTTCAAAATGTTGTAGTAATATATTAATGCTATATTCTCTAACCTGATGTGTTACCATCTAGTGCCGTAAAGTTACGTTCCAAATAATGATTTCACATTCAGAAAAAATGGAAGGCCTGACAAGTGAAATGATCTCAGTGCTTTTCAGTCTTTCCAATGAAACCAGAAAATAAGCTGATTGCTACTGAGAAGTTAGGAGGAACCCAGGCCTAAATGATTCATTGCAAATACATCACTTCTGAGGAGATGTATGCCTTTGCTTACACTTCACATGTATTTCATATTCTAGTCCACAATGTCGACTTAAAAAAAGTAATAAATAAATAAATAACTGCTTACTACAATAAATGTGATTCTCCAGGAAAGTGCTCCATCTTTATCCAGAGATAAAAGATATCAAATCAGGAGCCAGTGATAGTTCTCCATTTTTAAAACCAGACATTACTAACTATACCATGCAGTAATCTCAGTCTGCTTAAATACAGACTAATAATTAATAAACTCTTTAATTACAATAATACTTTGGAAAAAATCACCTTTTTTGGGGCCAAGCAGATGAGGAAGAAAACTCTTAACAGCTACTGGTTCTGCAAACACCAACTGATTAAGCAGAAGAGGCACCAACCTTGAGGCTATTAACTCCTCTGACAAGCAGCTGACTCTGTCCAGCAGAAATCTGAGGGCAAAAAAGGAAAGCCAGGGAAACTGCTGGTGACACTCTATCAATTTACTTGTACAGTTTACACACATGGCTTCTTTTACTTGATCAAACTGATGCATTTTGAAATTTAGCTAGGGCAGTTAAACAGGTCCATCCTCAGGTATTCAAGAAAAATGCAGAAGGCGTGAGGCAAAGCCAGCTTAGTCAATATACATACAACCTCAAATCCAAGCTAGAAAATATTCTAAACAAATTAGCCTTTGTAATCATAGCAAAATGTCCTTTTTTCTTCTAATAAGAGGCTTTCTTGTTAATAAAAGTTACTTTATCAGATATAAAACATGTAGCATTTAAATTAAATTAGAAAGTGTCCATAGTAAACAAAATACAGGCTTTTGTTACTACCTGAGTAAATGTAAAAAAAAAAAAAGGAAAATACAGATACACACACACACAAACACACCCTCTCAGTTATCGACATGGTTAGGTTCCAAAGATGATGCTGTTATGTGAAAATTGGTATTATGTGAAAATGGAGATGACTACATCAGATTACAAAATGGAAGATGACGCCATCATTATGTGACTGCCACTTACACATCATTACATAACTGCCAAACCACCAAGAATTATGGCCCAGCCAAGTTGACACATAACCTCAACCATAACAGCCAGTGTTATTGTTGCCTCACACCTCAACGTTCCTTACCATCAGATGCTATGTCATTAATGCAAAAAATAGACAGTAAACTTTTCACTCGTCATAAATGCAAAATGTCAGATAACAAGACATTCGGTAAGTGAAGAGAGGGTTTGTGTGTGTCTGTGTATATAAAGCATTTTGTTAAGAACTACGTAGATACCAGATATTAATAGTAATACTATAATTACCCTTGGCAGATAATCTTGCCTCCTTTATTAAGAAACCTGGCCACATCATGTGTGCTGTCCTTCAGAGCTAGATTCATATTCATCCTAACCTCCTTCCCAGTTATCAAAGACCCCACCTAGCAAGTGCCCCAACATTCCAAGACCCCTGACTCCAGTTTCTCCTGTAGTAACATGTTCTCTCCTCCAAATTTTCTACCCTGTGTCTGTTTTCTCACCTTTCCTTCCCTTTTCAACCTGCTGCAGTTTGACTCACTCTGCTGAAACTGCTCTTGCTAAGACAAGGTCACCATGGTTTTCCTGATTGCTCCTACCTTTCTGAAATTCTCTATTTCTTTGAGAATATCATAGCCTTCCTCTGAAATCTGACCAACACTTTTGTGACTCATCATGTATCCCTTCCTCACCTATGCCCTTTCAAGATTTGAGTGCCCCAGGGCTCAGACTCCAACTTGGGATCACTGTCCCTTTCATGCCACCCACTTTCTCTGGGAAAACATCGCACCTACAAGCTGATCACATTCTAATATTCACCTGTAGCTCCTCAGCTTAAGGCCTCTCCTGAGCTTCAGACCCATCTGGCCAACTGCCTAAGTCCATCTCTATCTACTGTCCTACAGACACTTCGTACACAACACAGAATTCATCATCTTCCCTGCACATCAGGTCCCTTCCTCCAGTCATTTCATGATAATCACTGAGACTTGCCAATTTTATGTCAATTTCTGTCAGTGGCTTCAGCTTCATTTCTACCATCCATGTTGAGGCCTCACATTTACTTCCCAGACTGCCACAGTATACTAACCAGTCCAAGTCCTATATAATTCAAACCCATCCCTTCCACAGGCAGCAGAGCGATCTACCTAAAGGGAAAATCCAACCCTTTCACAACTGCTTTCTCCCCTTTGAAGGCTTCAGTGCCTGAAGCCAGCTGTTTACAAACAGTGTCAATATTCCTCACCACCACATGTTACTCCAAGATTTGGCCCTGCTCACCTCGTAAGGCTTACCTCTCCTTCATTTGTCTTAGAGTTTGCAGCAGAACTCAACTGCTTGTCGTTCCTCTCACAAACACAGTCTTGCCTTTGTGTCTCTATTCATGTTGCCTCTGTGCCCCAAACACCTTCTCTCTGCTAACTCCTCCCCGTCCTCTGTCCACAGGATACCCTCTGCACACATTGCCACTGCATCCATCCACTGTTGAATGACTATAGGTCTACGCATCTGTTCCCTCACCAAAGATGTCTATCCCAGGGCTAGCAGAAAGCCTGACATGTAGGAAATGGTCGATTTAACTTTGTTAAATCAAACATCTGATTAAATAGACTTAATTCAAGTATCTAAATTTAAGGTATTTTCTAAACTTACTTGAAAAATTCAGTTTTTTCCTCTTCACTCTTCAGTGTTAAACTTTTCAAGAAATTCACTATTTCTAGAAAATCATTTCTAAATGTCAAAAAAAAAATGTTGGACAGCAGATTAGAGAAAGCATGTTAACTACTGAGACCATTAACCACAGACCACAGCATAATCACTGTCCACAAAGAAATATTCCCCTATGCTATTTGAAGATTCTACTGTAACTTACACTCTTAGGAGTAGCTTATGCGACAAATGCTATGGAACAAGCCTATCACCAACCACTATCAAGCTGATTCCAACTCACAGTGACCCTATAGGACAGAGTAGAACTGCCCCATAAGGTTTCCAAGGCTATAATCTTTACAGAAGCAGACTGCCTCATCTTTTTCCTATGGAGTAGCTGGTCGGTTTGAATTACCAACCTTTCAGTTAGCAGTGGAGCAATTTAACCACTGTGCCACCAGAGCTCCCTGAAGAAGCCCATAGGGAATCCAATATTTAACAATATGAAAAGGGAATCTGAGAAAGTGACAAAAGTTTAAAAACCCATATACTCTAACATTCTTCATGGTTTCAACAACCATCATAATCATCCAATTTTTTGGTTGTAATGTAAGTAGTTACATGGGATGTCCTAGGAGAAATGGCATGGTTACCATTCCAAAACAGCTGATTCCTGAGTCTTCTTGAGTGAAGTTAAAAAGTATTAAAGAAGGCCAGGGAGAGAGGAACTTCTTGTGCAAGTCACAGCAATCTTCTCACTTCTTCGTTCTAAGTTGTTAAAGTCATTTTTTCAGCGAGGCAGGGTGTGCGTGAGAAGTGTGATCAGGCAGAGCCTCCAGAGTCACTGAGACAACATGCTGCTCAGCTCGCAGTGGGGACTGCTCCCCTCACACCATGCGGGACTGCTGCCCTTGGCTGGCTCAGCACACAGGCGGCACCACCTTACACAACAGCCCCAGTAAGCACAGCTTACTGCCTCTCTGCCTCTCGTGTCCTCCTGCCTCTTATGTCTACACCTCTACCCCTCTGGCTCAGCAGCACAGAAACGGCTCCTTCTGTTTTATCTGGCTGGGTTTCTTCCTTGGATTACCATCACATTTTACGAATGGAATGTGTTTCATTTTCCTCTCCTCTATTGAAAATACAACTCTTAGTGAAGAACTCCTATTACACACACTGAAAGAAACTTTTTACTGTACAGTAAAGGATTATTCTTTGTAGGACTTTGTATCAAAGTTAAGTATTTCTACAAATCATCCAAAAGGACAAGAAAATATCTTGGTTAAAAGACCCTTACACTGTGGGAAAGGTTTTGAACAATTTCATTGAAATATAAACAAATATAACCTCAGTAACAACAGTGAAAATATCCTCTTTGCCCTGTTTAATAACATACCCCTAGCCCTATCACAGTTAATCTCCCCTGCTTCAGGGATGCTATAAGCTTTCCCTTCACTCTGGTTTTTCCCAGGCTCTCCTATCGCAAACACATGAGGAGTTTTAGTTTCAAAACTGACATAAGGTTGACTGCTAATATAGGTCAAGGATCCAGAACTAACCTGTGTGGAAGTTCTGCAGTCATGGAAATAAAAGACAAAGGACACAGAATTCAAACTAACCAAAAAGAGAGGCTCTGAATCCAGCAAAAGTATTAACACTGTGCTCCTCCCTCTAAAGCAAATTCTTTGTGCTTTCATCAGGTATTACTAAACAAAACAATGTTTTGCCTAAAGAAAAGTAAGGTCACTTCCCCCTTGACAGCAGCAAATTCAACACAAACTCACATCAATAATACAATGACAACAGAAGGGAGAGGCAATGTTTATAATTTATAATTCAATATTTATAAGCTTTCCCAAGGAACTTACCCCTATAAACCCCTGGACACATCTTTGTTTCTTCACAATCAGAAACCCTGATGAATTTGGCTATAATTTTGTAAACCTAACCAGCTCAGGTGGTGTCATGCCTAAGGCATTTGACTATTAACCAGAAGGTTGGCAGTTCAAACCCACCAGCCACTCCTCAGAAGAAGACTGGGCAATCTAGTTCTGTGAAGATTTACCACCTCAGAAACCCAATGGGGGTCACTATGAGTTGGAATCAACTCAGTAGCAATGAGTTTGGTTAGGTTTGGTTTAACCTCCACGATAATTAAGGATTTCTAAACTTTCTGTGATAAGACTTCTTCCCTCACTTTTTTTCCTACAGACCCAATACATTCTCTCCTAATAATAACATCACCACCACCATTTAGCCCTCCAAAGGCCACCACAAGCAATAATGTACAGAAGAGCCAGCAGCAGTGGGCAGCAGCCAGCATGGCACACAGACCTCACCTGAAGAAGTCGTGGGACAGTAAGGTGCAGAGCGCTGGCCGACAGTTTGGAATGGGATTTAGCAAAGTTGAGTGCAAGGTCTGTTGAAAGCTGGACAGAACATCCGCTGAAACTGAAATCCAGAGCTACAGTTAGTTTCCAATGCCTTCTCCCTTTTTTCAGACCTCTATAGCTGGAGGCTGACGAGAGCAAAAACCAACCTGTAAAAACCCAAACAAACAAAGCCCTGGCTGTTGCTAAACAGCTTCCTGCTTGCCTGAAGCCAAACTCCTAGGCCGGTGTTGAAAGTGGTCCTTCCAACACACCCCATCCCTCCCCGGAGCCTCCCTCCCCCTGCTCCCGCTGCCCCCACCCCAATTCCTGGTCATCAGTTTAATTCAGCTCAGGCCCAAAGAAGAAGCACCAGGTGTGAGGGCCTTTCTCAAGCCTCATATGAACCACTGAACATGCACAGTTATTTGAGAGACTACTGTTTCAATCCCCCAAAGATAGTGTATAACTATACCATCCCAGCTGCCTGAGAGAGAAGATACTTCATAACACACAGTGGGTGCCCTATGGCCTTAAAGTTTCATTCTCAGGTATTTAGACTGTGACAATTTATAGCTAACAGCCAAATGGTACCTATGATATCAAAACACTGCATAAGCCTGGGAAGAAAGCTTGTATCATAAGCTCTAGCCAGCACACAACTTTAGCAGTAAAGTCTAGGTAGGGGTTCATGGGGCAGGGTCCCCAGTAAATTTAAGGGTACAAAATTAAAGGGCTGGAGTGGCTGGAGGAGAACAAAACAGGCTGCACAGCATGCAATTAGAGAGCATGAAACAGAGGAAAACAATGTCTTCAGCAGCCTGGGCTTTAAGGGGCAATGAAAAAAAAGTAACATGCAAATACATCAAGAAAAAAATCAAAAGGTCTCTAAAAGAAGGGAGAAAAAGAAACATTAAGCCTTATTTAGAAATTGACTTAATAATATTTTGAATCTTACTCTATTTTTTTGATTATTACAAATCAGTAACAGCATGTATTTACTGTCTGGCTCAATAAGCAAGACAGTCTGTGGACCATGAATACTAATGCTGGTGAGTAACAACAATGCGTGATACTGAAAATCACAGTTCAAAGTGTTTCTTAGGTAAAATTCTTTTAACTATGCAAACTGTTGTTGTTGTTGTTGTTATGTGCCGTCGAGTCAAACCCGACTCATAGCGACCCCTCCTTGGGTTTCCGAGGCAGTATCACTATGGAAGTAGGATTGCCCAACCTTCCTTCTGAGGAGTAGCTGGTGGGTTTGAACCGCCAGCCGTCTGGTTAGCAGGCAAGTGTCTTAGCCACTATGCTACCAGAGCTCCCCAACTATGCAAACTAATGGGGCCCAAAGCTTCTTTCCTTGCTTCTGTTAATGTCTGCCCTAAACTTGATTAAGTAAGGTGCCTTACTACCACCAGAGGCTGCAGTCCTTTCCCTTCGGCTCAATGCACAGCACGGCTGATTTTTTTCATTCCGGTGATGTGGATAGTATGACTCCAACTCACCCTGTTCACTTAAGACTGTGAGTAAACTTCCCACCAATGTTCCAAAGGAATAGGCATCCCGGGCATGTCCATGGGACTCTGGCAGAGCTGTGAATTCTGGTGACTAAAAGCAATAAAGACCATTAAAACCAGGGCTCTGCCTTACAAAAGAAACAAACCCAACTCACTGCTATGAGTCGGATCTGACTCACAGCAACCCCTCCTTGGGTTTTCGAGGCAGTGTCTCTATGGAAGTAGACTGCCCAGTCTTCCTTCCAAAGATTTTGGTTACACTCAAAGGTAACCACATGTACTCACACTAATATGTTGGCTCTTCCATTAGGCAATGAAATAAAATATAAAACAAGGTCAGAAAGAAAAAAAAAAAGGCTAGAGCATAATATATATTTCTGGCTTTCAAAAATATGTTGACTACAACCCAGAATAAAACATTTATTTTACATCATGACCCAGTATAGACACATAAATATGAATACATACAGAACAAAGTCTCACCAGACAATACTTACAGTGATATCTAGGATTTCCAATGATATTTTCTGTATTATTCCATTATATTTTTTTTTCAGAATGCTGATCAGCATCCCTTAGTATATCCATATAATACTTCTTTGGATAAACCTTAGTGATTTCAAGTTTTAGGTCTACACTGGTGTTTACAGCTGACTTTGTATAGCCCATGAAGCACATTTAATATGTTTTGGGGAGTCAATGCTTATTTATAATTGTTAAATAAGAACACATTTAGAGGGAGCATCTGCTTTTGAATTTTCTGGTAAAGACACTCCTCTTTACCAGCACCATCACGTTAACCATCATTCTTCAGTGCATCTTTGAAACTATATGACTAGGTAGGTAGATGATGAATGGCTTGGGTAAAGCACAGTGAAGGAATAGAGATGCTGCTTCTCCAACTACTATGGCTTCCAGCAAGGTAAGTACACAGACTTTTCCAAAAAAAGGATATGAACCACCTCTCCTGTGCATCCAGAAGTATCTCTAACTTCAAACAACATTGTAAGTGTCCATATGACAAAAAAAATGTATACTGAATGTCAGAAAAAGGGCTCCCCAGCTGTGGTCACAAGATTAATCTCAGGAATTGTCAAGACTAGAAGAATTACAGGGCATCTATTACTCAGTAAAGCCAGTTGTAGGCAAGGGAAACCTGTTTTAACTCTCATGCTTAGTTACACAATTAAAGTATTACATCTGAAATATCTCCTCTTACCATCTCTTCAGGAGGAATAGATGCTGGATCTCTTACTGACTGAATACTCCTCAGAAACTAGACAGAGAAATAAATTAAGGAAAATGATTCATACATATGTTTGGTGAAGCAATCTCTTACACCAAGTCACAAAAGGAATAGTACTTCCAAATAGCACCTATAAAATCTTCAAACCAGTATCATGCATTAAATACACAAATACAAAATCTTCCTAAATAAAAATTGGAAACATAGTTCCTGGTACAACACAAAGCCTAATGGACAATAAATGTTAGTTTTCTTTCTTCTACCCTTCAGCTGCTCTCACACATGCCCTCTGCTGTTCACGGGCATCTCACTGGATCTCCCTAGACAGAAAACAGGAATACCATCTTCCCATCCTACATAGATGTTAACAAATCAGAGGGTTTTCTAGTCAATCTATCATTGACTTTCTCATTGAATTAAGTCAGTCATAAGGCTTGCTGCCACATGAGATATAGAACATCCACAGAATAAGCCTTTCATTTCTTCTTTCAAAGGTTATTTTTAGGCCTTTGTATGTCCACAACACCATTTAGGTCCTTAGGGATACAAAATGAATGCAGTAAGTTCCCTGCCCCCAGCCAGGTATTCACAACCTAGAATGTAAACTAAGAATGTCAGTAACATATGCTGAGTGCCATGAAGTACAGAAGAGTGACGATCTTGCTGAGTAAGGGGGTGCTGTGGGAGGGCTTCACGGAGAGGCTACTGAAACTACATCTCAGATGAGTTTACGTTCATCAACAAGCTGAGGGAAGAAAGACATCGCAGCAGCAGAATGGCATAGAAAGGAAGAAAAGGGTGAAGGAGTCTGGCATGTCGGGAAACACAGCTAGACTGTGTGGAACAGGATGTAGCCTAGCCAGAGTGTAAGCTTAAGAGTTGTATGGAACAAGAACTATGAATAATAAAAGAAGCTGAAGGTACAGGGAGCAAGGGATTGTGAAGGGCTTGATATGCCATGGTAAGGCATTTGGGATATACCCCCACAGAAATGATTACATGCTAAGCTGTGTTATACTAATTAGACATAAAGGGAATTCAGAGAAAAAAGTAATCAACAGGGGCAGAAATAGTCAGAGAGACATCTTCATGGTAGAGGCAGCATTTGAATTGAGCAAGAGGCCATAATGGTGCAAATCAGACAGAATCCAAGTTGAGCGCAGAAGCCACAGGGTAGAGAACAGGAGAAAGTAAGGTTGGGCTGTAAGTCACCCAGTAAAAGTCACCGCTTCAGTAGGGATTATGATGGGAGGTTTGTTTTTTGTTTGTTTGTTATTGTTGTGTTTTTAAAGAAAGAGTCAATCTAACAGCAACATGCAAAATGATGAAAAGAAACAAAAGAGACTAGGAAGGTTCATTAACCCAGGAGGGAAATACGTAGATCCTTTGTCAGACAAAATTACAAGAAGTACCACAAGAAATACAAGGCAGTAGCACACAGCCTACTTGGAGTTAAGATGCACCGATCCTAACTCCAATTGTTATGACATAATGTATGACTATGAGCAACATTTCATGAGCACTTAATATATGTGAGGTACTACTCTAAGTGGAAAAGTAAAGATAAATATGAGACTATCCTACCCTCAAGGAACTCAACTGTTGGTATATATATATACAGGTAACTTCAGTATAAAGCATTAAGTGCTATGACAGAATTAAGGGCAAGACCTCTTTCAGTTTCCAGTTCCTCATCTATAAAATGAGAAAATAAAGGACTTCTAATACTGCTATAAGGAATAAAATCCTACAATGTTATAGGTATAGGCACTGGAATAAAAGTCAAGAGACTAAAGGAAGGTCCCTAGGCAGGACACATCCTATCAGGAAGGTGACCAATCCATCCCTGAAACACAAGAGGCCCTATCACCCAGCTCACCTCTGGTGTGGCCTCAGGAACTTTACAGACAGTTTCCATGCCTCCTAGCTTCCAGTGCCCATCTTCACTCACAAACACAGATGACAAGCAGACATTGTTGTGTGTTAGGTTTCCCTGGAAAAAAAGAACAGGAAGACTGCCACTCTAATTTTTGAAGCAGCAGTTTTTTAAAATAAATAAATAAATACAAAAGGAGCTCTGGTAGTGTAGTGCCTAAGGCACTTAACTAATAACCAGAAGGCTGATGGTTCAAACCTACCAGCCTCTCCTCAGAAGGAAGATGGGGCAATTTACTTCTGTAGTGATACCGCCTCGGAAACCCAAGGAGGGGTCGCTATGAGTTGGGTCCGACTTGATGGCATGTAACAACAACAACAATCAAGAAAAAAGATTATGACTAGCCTTTCCTTTTGTGGCATAATAAATGCATCTATGATTTTAAGGAATGACAAATTACATTAGCCTGCTTAAGCATTATGAGGTTAGAAAAAAGGAAAAATGCAATGGAAAGGCTTGTGTTCATTATCTTCTCCTACCTGGTGAGGCAGGTTAACAAAGACATAATAACTATTACACAGATACAGTCACATCCCCGTTTCTAATGGGGTCAGGAACATAAATTGACAAGTCTTTATAGCCTAGATTGTTTGCTATTAAATGCCTTTAAAGACAAAATTTATCTTTGTTCCTTAAATTATTAATTTTCTCCTCTAAATGCTTTCTCACCTACATTCTATCACGAACCCAGATCCACTTCACCTGAAATCTTGTCAGTAGACATAAAAAAATTTTGCCTGAAGAAGAGGAAAATGGAATGATAAGGACCACCAGAAATATCCCACTGACCACAGAAAAGCCAATTTTAAAACCATAAAAATAGTACAGTCAGATAAGTGAAAGGGAGGGAGAAAATGAAAACAGGGTTCAAGCATGTAAGTTTTTCGAAACCAGAAATCATTCCAGTGGACAAAGGAACACTTTAATATTCTATCCACTAGTTACAATATGTACATATTTTTATATAAAACATACATATATATGTATGTATGTGTGTGTATGTGTGTATTTTATATATATATATATATAATACATACATATATATATAAAAGGATTTTTAGAACAGTATGTACGTTTCCATTTGAGGAAAAATAAAGGAAGAATAGATAATAAGCAAATATTTGCTTTATATGCACAAAGTACATCTCTGGAAAAATATACTAATTAGCATGTCTGGAGAGAATTAGGGCATTGTACTCAAAGATGGGAGAGACACTTACTTTTCCCTGTGTGCATTTCTGTATTATCCCAATGTATGTCCATGTGCATGTACTTTCTCTAACAAAGAAAGCATTACTAATTCTTGCTATTGTAAGACCTCTTAAACATACAGCTATACTCATTATTCATGGATTACTAATTTGCAAATTCATCTACTCACTGACATTTATTTATAATGCTAAAATTAACACTTGCAGTGCTTTTGCAGTTGCTGTAAACGTTTTGAGTTGTCTGATGTGCACACTCCCAGCTGAGGTCAAACAAGGCTGGTTTGGTATTCACTAATTCAGTGTACACAAAGACCTTATAGAACATACTACACTGCAAATAATAAGAACTGACTATACTTTTAGGTGACCCTAAATCCAACCTGATATTTGGAGAGACTGTCTCCTATTACTGGAAACACCCACCCATTAAGATGAGTTAAGGAAGTTTTTCTAAGCTATGACTGGTGTTTTTCAATCTCAGGGAATTGGCAAGGACCTTAATGACACAGAATGCAAATGTTATTAAAGAAGAGAAGCTCAATATTGTCAAAAATAGACCAGAAAGTAAACTTGAAAACTACCAAAGTATCCCCTTAATAACAAACATCACCAGAGAGCAAAGCATATTGGCTACACACAAAATGTCAGGGGGTGTCTCTCAGTTGGCGTTATCTACTCTTCCCAACAAAAGGTCATTTCTCTCTAAAAATCTAAAATGGAACAAAATTCCTGAAAAGAAATATGAACTTTGGTCTACAGCAGCACTGATGTAAGATTTTTATTTGTCTTAATAACAAATGCCAGTTGCAGCTAATTTTGGTAAAGATTTACCCAATACTAGAGGTAGACTTCACTAAACTGAAATAGAGTTCTATAAATAACTGCCCAGGGATGGAGAACTAGTTGCCCATTCCCAAAACCATCTGTCTGTAGCACCTCTAGTGCTTTCTAATGTGCTGTTTTTCTTGAGGAAACTACTTAATAATAACAGTAAATTACAATGTCTACACACAGCATAATCTACAAGCATCACCACACATATCATCCTCTGTGGTCTACATCAAAGCCTAAGAGGCATACTGTACACAGGTTACTCACTCTGTCATGAAGGAAGATAAGAGCCAGCAATATGTCATAGATCCCAGCACAGACCTCTGCAGAAGACAGTGTTTCCAAAGCCACTTCCAGAGGCTGCACTCGCTCAGTGACAAGATGAATGCCATTGGCTTCCACAGTACAAGATAAAAATCTTAGCAAGCAAGGGTGGCGGAGTGTCTTCAAGTGCTTTAAAAATATAAACAGAAGAGCTGATGAAATTTAATGACTGTAAACCAGATTAATTACAGTGTCATATATACATCCCAGTAAAAGTCAGAAAATGAGTATTTGCATTCAGGGTCCTTTCCCAGCCCCCTATTTCCTCCTCAACCCTCCAAATTTTAAGTAAGCAGAGATTCGTGACTTGTTCTGACATTATTCAATTTGTTGTTGTTGTTGTTATTTGCCATCGAGTTGGCCCCGACTCATAGCGACCCCTCCTTGGGTTTCCAAGGCAGTATCACTTCGGAAGTAGGCATGCCCAACCTTCCTTCCGAGGAGTGGCTGGTGGGTTTGAACCGCCAGCCTTCTGGTTAGCAGTCAAGTGCCTTAGGCACTATGCTACCAGAGCTCCTATTATTCAATTTACTAACATTTAATTCACTCTTCAGAGACTTCTAGTTGCATTATGGCAGTGAAAGCCCCCTAAGGGTTCCAGAACTCCCAACAATTACAGCTATTAAAGGCTGAATGACATATCAAAAACAATACTTGAGCACTCTGAAAAGTAAACATAGGCATGTAAATTATGGCAAGGGGTCAAAACTTGACGCAACATCCATAGGAGTGAAGTTCCTGATTTGGAAATTTTCTTTCTCCCTCTCATGGCTATGCACTAAAGGCACAGGTGAGCTACAAGAAGCACACTGTCCTCTTTCCAGCTAGACAAATCACTGAAAGGAACCCAAGCAACATGGACTATGATGGGATATTCCAGAGGGAAGAGATTTGAAAAAGGAGATGCCCTAATTCTTTGTATACCCACAGAATTCTCAGACTAATTTCTGAGACAACCATACATACAACAAACACAAGCCACCATAGAGAAGGGTAAAGGGTAGTTAAAAACCTTGAAGCTTGAACCTAATGGGGTTAATTATCTGCTTATTAAAAAAAAAAAAATCAATATTCCATGACAAATATGACAACACCAAGAGTTGACTTGCATGACATTCAAAATATTCAGAATGCAATCCAAAATTACCATGCAAAGAACCAGAAAAATGGGCCAATTTCATGGAAAAGACAATCAACAAATGCCAACCATGAAATTACCCACCCAGATGTTAGAATTATCAGAGAAAATTTAAAGCAGGTAGTATAACCATTCCCCTAGAGGTAAAAGATAAAAGTTATAAGACAAATGACGTTCTCAGCAGAGAACTGAAAATCATAAAAAAATAACCAAATAGAAATTTTAGAAATAAAAAATCCAAAACTTGAAAGAAAAATAAATGGATGAGCTCAATAACAGAATAAAGGTAACTGAGGAAAGCACTAGTAAACCTGAGGCCAGATCTATAGAAATTATTCAATATAAAGAATAAAGAGGAAAAAAAAAAGTTAATGAACATAGTCTCCAGAATCAGTGGGGTTAATAACAAAAGGTCTAACACATATGACTTCAATCACAAAAAGAAGGAGAAAAAGATCAGGACACAAAAAATACTGTACCTAAAAACTTCCCAAATCTGTCCAAATCCTTAAGTTGGAGATGTACGAAGATCAGTGAACACAGAGGATCTCAAGCTCAATTGGCACAACATACTACACAAAACATTGTTCCATCTCCTACTTTGGAGAGTAGTGACCAGGATCTTAAAAGCCTACAAGCAGCCATCCAGATGCAACGATGGGTCTCTCCTCATCCAGAGCAAAGAAGAATGAAGAAAACCAAAATTCATGGAAACAATTAGTGCTAGCAACTGGTACACCATGTGATCCACAGCCTATACAACTAAGAGACCAGAACTAGATGGTGCCCAGCTACCACTGTCAACCACTTGGAGGGGGATCTATGTAGGAGATCCTGGATAGAGAGGGAGAACAATGTGGAACAAAACTCAAAATCATTTGGAGAAAAAAATAAAAAAGGGAGACCAGGTTTGCTGGTCTGATAGAGCCTGGTGGAACCACTGAGACTATGGCCCCTAGCTGCCCTTCAGGTGTGGAAGTGAACCCACACCTGCAGCTTCCAACCAAATAAAAGACAGGCATAAGAGTTGAAAATGTACCTGAGGTAGATACATCCCTTGGAGAGAATAATCATGGGAGAAAGAAGGACTGTTTATGCACAGGGAGATAGTTCAGGAGGTAGGAGTAGTTCAGGAGGTAGGAGTGCATGAAGGGATGGACACAGGGAAGAGTTAACTATCGGGAGGAAGTGGGAGGGGAGCTGTTGCATTGGGGCAAACTGTCAATGTCATCAGACAACGTGTATGTGAACTGCTGTATGGAAAGTGAATTTGCTCCATAAACTCATCCAAATCACAGTAATAAAAAAAAGAAGAAGAAGAAGATGATCAGTGAACACCCAAGAAGATAAATTCAAAGAAAATGACATCAAAATATATCATCAACCTGGTGAAAACAAAAGATAAAGAAAAAAAACTTTGCAAGCAGCTAGAAAAGAGAAAAGCACACTTTACGGAGGGGAAGAATGATCCAAATGACTGCAGATTTCTCATCAGAAAACATGGAAGCCAAAAGACAGTGGAACAACATCTCGAAAATGCTAAAATAAATAAATAAATAAACCTTGAATTCTACATCTAGCAAAAATATCCTTCAGAAATGAAGACAAAATAAAGAAATCGAAATAAAGGAAAACTAAGAAAACTTGTTGCCAGCAGATCTGCTGTATTGAAAAAAAAAAAAAAACGCTAAGGGAAGCTCTTCAGGCTGAAGAAAAATGATACCAAAAGGAAACTTGGATTTTCAGGAATGAAGAATATTAGAAATGGTAAACATCAGGATAAATATGAAGGCTAGCTTTTTCTACTGAGAGCTCTGGTGGCGTAGTGCCTAAGGCATTTGACTGCTAATCAGAAGGCTGGTGGTTCAAGCCCACCAGCCACTCCTAGAAGAAAGGTTGGGCAATCTATTCCCGTGGTGATACTGCCTCAGAAACCCAAGGAGGGGTCACTATGAGTCAGGATCTGACTTGACGGTGTGTATTTTTTTAAGTTATTTAAAATACATAAGACTATTTAAAGCAAATACTGTTAATACTGCCTGGTTAGGTTTTCAATAAATGTGATGTCTGTGTGTATGTGTGTGTGTGTGTGTGTGTATGTATGTATACATCAGCTGTAACAAAAGGATAGCAGGTGTGGGGAACACCTGTGATTGCAAGGCTTCAACATTTTATGTAAAGTGGTACAATATCAACTACAATCAGACTATGAAATGCTACTTATGCATACAAAATTCCTAGAGCAATAGTTTTTAAAAAAGGAGAAATATAGCCAAAAACCTAATAAATACATTAAATGGAATACTTAAAAATTTAGAAAACACTAAATCCAATAACTGCAGAATACACATTCTTTACAAGTGCACAACATCCACTAAAAGAGAGTATATGGTGGCCCATAAAACAATTGTAGATAATTTAAAGGAATCCAAATCATATAGTATGTCCTTCAACTACAAAGGAATTAAATTAGAAACAGTAACAGTTAAGATGTCTAGGAAAACCACAAATGTCTGGAAATTATACAATAAACTTGTAAAGAACTCTTGGGTGAGAGAGTAAATAAAAATGCAAAGTACAAAATAATCTTAAATGATGATAATGAAAAATAGTGAATCAGAAATATGGAGAATGCCTCAAAACAATGTTTAAACCAAACCAAACCTGTTGCCATCCAGGCAATTCCAATACATGATGACCCCATGTGTTACACTGTATAATCGCTGCATAGAGTTTTCTTGGCTATAATTTTTACAGAAACAGATCATCAGGCCTTCTTCCATGGCACTGCTGGATGGGTTCGAACTGCCAACCTTTAGCTGAATGTAAGTCATTTGTGCCACCTTAAAAATACCAACCAAACCCACTGCTGTCAAATTGATTCCAACTCATAGCAACCCTATAGGACAGAGTAGAACCCACAGGGTTTCAAAAGCTGTATCTTTACAGAAGCAGACTATCACATCTTTCTCCCATGGAGCAGCTGTAGGTTTGAACTTTCAACATTTGGTTAGCAGCTAAGTGTTTTACCACCGCACCATTAAGGCTCCTTTTGTGATACCTACAGATCTTAAAAGCAATGCTTAGAGGAAAACTTATTGTTTTATTTGCTGTACTGGAATGCAGTGTCCCCTGACAATTCACATTTACCCAGAACCTCAGAATGAGGCCTTATTTGGAAATAGGTCTTTGCAGATGTAATTAGTCAAATTAAGATGGGGTCATAATAGATTAAGTTGGACCCTAAATCCAATGGAAGTTCCTGGGTGGTGCAAATGATTAACAGATTCAGCTATCAAATGAAAGGTGGGAAGCTTGAGTTCACCCAGAGGCACCTCAAAAGGTGATCTACGTCTGAAAAATCAACCACTGAAAATCATGTGGAGCACAGTTCTACTTCGACGTATATGGGATCACATGAGTCAGAGTTGACTCAATGGTAATGAGTTTT